CGCCGCCGCCACCACTTCCCACCGCCATGTTCTCCACCTGCACCATAACCAACTCCACCACCAGCACCACTTCCTGTCCCGTAGCCAGCACCATGATCACCTCCTGCACCATACCCTACACCACCACCCGAGCCACCGCCACCACCATAGCCTCCTCCATGATCTCCACCAGCACCGTAGCCTCCTCCAGCACCAGCACCACTTCCAGTGCCATAGCCACCGCCATGCTCTCCACCTGCACCAGAACCAACGCCAGCACCACTGCCTCCACCACCACCATAACCACCACCATGTTCTCCACCAGCACCGTAACCAGCTCCACCACCTTTACCACTTCCTATCCCGTATCCACCTCCATTCTCACCACCTGCACCATAACCCACACCAGTACCGCTGCCTCCCCCACCACCATAGCCGCCACCATGTTCTCCACCGGCACCATAACCGCCTCCACTCCCAGTGCCCGCTCCAGTCCCGTAACCACCACCATGGTCACCACCTGCTCCATAGCCCACACCGCTTCCAGAACCGCCACCGTAGCCACCACCATACTCTCCTATACCACCAAACTCACCTCCGGCCCCATAACCGGGAAAGAAATGCCATCCACCTCCAGGAATGACGTCGCCAATGCCATGGCCTACGCCATAAGGCAGCTCCTGAGGAGCAACCAGGAGCGCTCTAGAGGCGAAGCACACGGTCGCACCCAACAACAGCAGCAGCGCAGAGCTTACGACCCTGCGAGTAACACCCATGACCAAGCTTGTGTGGAGGACTCGAGATGCCTGCCACCTTCGATGGATCGAGGAAGTGGAGGGAGCAATTTATAGAGGCGGAGAAGGAAGCGGGCGTCGTCCTTGGTGATCGACGCATCAAGAAGACTAGCTGTGGAGTGGTGCTCGAGCACATGGGCGCGCATGGGGTGCTTCTTTGCACCCCAACCCCCCAAGCAAAGTTTCTGCGCTTCCGCTGTTGTGCACATCAGTTGCAAGTGATATGCCACCTGCGTCACGCATTCCATCCTGCCCCTATCCTTTCTCTGCTTAGAAGGTGTATTATATACCCTTCTTCCATGCAATTTCAATTTGAGACCACCCCGGCGTATCTAAAACTTGCTTGTTTTGGGGAGAGACTTCACTCACGGTCAGTGAGCATCCAACGACAGCGTCGTGTCTCTCTTAAGGCGTCTGTAAGGTATTTTGGAACTAAAACGTAGAGGACACGGAGGCGATCTTACATGAGCGACTGTGAAGCAATCCCCACCACTCCGACGATAGACAAAGGTGCGGTTATCTTATCTACCGCCAACTCAAGTTGGACGAGTGATCTCACCTACGACATCGACCAATAATTTCTGGACATCTGGAGACTGAAACGGGCCCCATCTCCAGGAACCAACCGGAGCACACCTACGTGGCCGCATCACTGGTTATCCATTGAATCATCACAAAAAAATAATCTTAGGTGCAGGAACAGCAATCAAGTGTAGACGTCCACCTACCACAGGGCAAACAACCATGTCAGTGGTCTTCCGCACCCTGTCTTCTACAACTGGCCCACCACCACTATGGCCTCCCATTAAGAACAGAAGAACCTTTCCAGTTCTGCATACGGTTGACATTTTGTGCCAAAGTGAAAAGGAATGCTGAGCTCGTATCACACTGGTCGGTGACCGGAGATGCCTCCTCGCCTCGCATGCTCTCAGCAGCTGAAGGAGAACCAGAGGCAAGGAATTGTTTGCTGATCCGTTCGAGCATTAGCAAGATCAGGTTAACATTCTATAATGGAGAGTGCTTATGAAATCATTACGCCAATGAAGAAAGAATGAACCATCGACAATGGGCAGCTTTCATCCAATACCTGCAGTACTCGAGTCTATCGGTGCAGGAACAGGGACCGTGATCCCCGTCCGAAGACCTGTTTTCCAGAAGCTCTGCTACAGGAATCTGAGAGGCATCAGCACGAGCGGTAGTGGGGAAAGCTTTACGGGAATGGCCTGTGGTTGGTGGGTGCGGAAGAGGTTGAGACGAGACACCACCGACGACCCGCTCAATGCCGAGGCACCAAGTGGCAGTGAAGCCACTCTGTTCCACCAGAGAGAGAGAGAGAGAGAATAAGTCTCATCTCAGGCCAACGTGCAAGCCAGAGGAAGCGCAATACCGGAGAGGAAGATTGTGGGACTGGGCCACGCCATGTGCCCTACTCCCTCATCCGCGGAAAGCCAGACGAAGCGAGCGCTTACACCGAGTGCAAACACCTTACGCCACCAGGAAGCGCAGGCAGCTGGGGAAGAAGCTGGATATGGAGAGAGCGTGGAGGCTGCGGCTGTGGCGCTGATGCCAGGCAGCGGTAAGAAAACCCTGAGCAAGTATTTGTCATCGAACATGCAACAAGTCATTTCACATTGTAGAAAGAAATGCAATACAGGAGATGACGTATAAGAAGCAATAGCATGAATTGAAGCAAAGGTCATAGGAGGGATCATAGCCTCTAATATATCATGATTACCATTAGCAAATGGCGTCTTCATTATTTCAATCAGAAAGCAGAATCAAAACTCGAGAGGATTTTGGGTACAAGACGTCAATGTTATTAGAACTTTGGCCTCTCTAGCATTCACTGAACCAAGGATCAAACGAACAGGATAATCTGTGAGTTTTTTGTGGTAATGTTCAGAAGAACTTCTTCTCGAATGAAACCAAGCCATGCACTCCTCCCTCTACCTGTGCAGCCCCTGTTCGGACCTGGAAAAGAAGATCATCCACAAACATAAGAACCTAAACAAATGATAATTTACAGAAATTGAAGACACAGCAACTTCCACATGCTTCCTAAATGACAGTTCGATAAATCCTCTCTGGAAGTGTCTTTTTGAACCTTAATTTCCTTTAAAGAATGAGAAAATTGATTATTTCAGTATGTTTAATTGATGAATCTTTTCAACAGAACCTATGGAGCTCTGGAATACCATTCACTGAAAATTTCCAGCTTTCTTATCTGTGCAATCATTTTAAGATCCTGACCTTGGCAAAGTCCTTCGCCGATAGTGTCAAAATTTCAATCATAGCTCCGCATTTTCTATTTCTGTACAGTAATTTCATATATATATATATATATATATATATATATATATATATATATATATATATATAATATT